TACGATAAAAAATCGGTAATTCAACCACCCCCGTAGTTATAGTAGCTTTCCACTATTATAGAATGTACATTTGAAAAATGTCGAGCATTTTTTTAACGATTTAATCGACAAATTAGCAATCGATTTTCTTCCGTGTAAAAGATTGGATTCTTCTTAACAACGCTATGGTTTAAATTTTCTTGGCCGCTGATGATTGAGTGACTGAATGTTTGTGAATGTACGCGTGCACGTGTTTATTTGTAGGGCAATAATAGTCAAAACATACCTATCATTTTTGAGAAGAGTAATTTTTAAGAATTTAAGTTTCGTGAAAAACTTGGTCTCAGGTTGAGGGGATACCACGCAAAAATAAAACGCGCCATGTCGGTACCGGACCTCTTGGGTGGCGTGGAAGCAAGTACTAATAATTATATTTATATATTCTGCCTTAATATATAAGTTTTATATAAAATGAAGTTAATTGATTTTATATAAATTGCCAAACTAACATACTTTGCATTTTTCGATATATGCCATTTTCAAGGAGCTCGATGTCTTGGCACAACTGCACTACAAGTGTCACGATAGAGCACTTTAGTGGATGCACGACTCCTTGAAGTGTTTCCCCCTCATTCTGATGAAGAAAAATGTGGCAAAGATTTATTCCATCCTCCTTTCCGCTGATTTCGATCCATTATCCCCGCTTTACAAAATGGAGACAACACATCTACCATTCGAAGTCAACTGTTAATGCACCTGGGTGTCTGGAAGAGCTTATAGGATTGTCAACACGCAAACAAGCCCCATGAGTCTCCCCGCGAAAAGCTTGATCAGCTGATTAATAATTAATAATAATTTTAAAATTATATTTAAATAGTTAATAATTAATAATAATTCAAAAATTAAATATAAATAATTAATAACTATAATACTAATTTTAAAATTAAATGTAAATAATTAATAATGAATAATAATTTTAAAATTAAATATAAATATTTAATAATTAATAATAATTTTAAAATTAAATATAAATAATTAATAAATAATAATGACTTAGTGTAATTTTTAATTCTCTAAAGAAATAAACTGATATTTTTGGTTCCTTTTGGCGTAAATCTGTCCATTCTCCCCTCTATATTCGAACCTCTCTAATTCGAAATTTCAGTGGGTGTGTATTTATTAACAGAATGAAACATTGGTAAAAATTGAGAAAAATTTGTCATCAAAATTAAGTGAGTATTTACTTGAAAAGCAAAAATAAAGAATATGTTTGAAACAAACTTCAGAGTATGTACAATCAAAAGGGAGAGAAAAAAAAACTCGTCCTATAAAGGAGGTAGTAAAATAGCATTGGTTTGCAATGCAAAATTAAGTCAAACAAAACAAAAAATTGAACAAAATTATTTTAAGGCATCTTCTTTAAAATCTAATGGTAATAATCAAGTGAATCGAGGAATCTCAGCTATAATGCTTTGCTAAAATGTAAATAAAGCGAACAACTCATTTTTAGTGAGCAAACAAGAATGAAGACTTATTCCTTAATTTTCTAAAAAAATGGCAGAAGATAAACTTCACCAGTCAGAGTGTCCGAGGAGGAGGCATCAAATACACTGGAACTAGGTGGTTATGTTTACGCCGGAGGCGTTGAGGGACCCCTGAGAGGAACTCGCCAGGGCTTTCCAGCAGAGGGTACCTCTTGGAGGTGGAATATAAAGCCCTAGGAGCAACTCCTTTGGGATTGGTTTGGTGGGAGGAACGAATGCCAGCCTTAAGGAGGTGACTCCAAGGGTGGGAGGGAGATGTCCTTTAAGAGTAACTCCTAGGGTCGGCACCTGGAGCGGAGCGTTGTAGGTGGCCGGTGCGGCGTGACCTAGAGAGGAACTCTCGAGAGCTGGTCAAAGCAAGATGTACCGCGAGAGTGTCTCTCATGGAAGTGGCCTAGGGAGGAACTCTCGGGAGCTGGTCCGAGCAAGATGTGCCGCGAGAGTGTCTCTCATGGAGGTGGCGATGGAAGTGACGAATGGAGCAGGTCACGGCACAGTATTTATACCGCCAGGAGTGAGAGGGGACGACCGCTTGCCTCAATGCGTAGGAGCGAGATGGATGGATCACGTGCCGCGACACGTGCCGTTGCGTAACGTGGGCAGTGCGAACGGCATACGTGCATGGTCGCAAGGGGAGGAGAGGAGGCAGCGCGCGCTGCTTCCATGATGCAGTGACGCAACCGCGGCGCGGGTGACGGAAGCAGGGCCAGCGGCGCGGATAGCGGGTGCTGGAGGCAAGCGCCGAGCATGGCGGAGGAGCGTGACGCAGCCTTGGGTGCGGAGGTGACGCACGGCGGGATCATCAGCGCGGGCGGTGGAGATGCGTAAGATAGCCGCAGGCGACGCGGCTTTGGGTCAGAGACAAGAGACCCTCTACTGGCCTCCCAGCGACAGGTGGAAGCTTTTACTTTCGGGGTTTCAACAATTCCTTATGGACAATTACTAGGGACAATTACATCGTCGATGATAAGCTTCGGATGACGTCATGAGCCGAACAAGTTTCCGAAACGTCGGCCATTTTCGGCTTGTTTGCAAAACGAAACTGCCAACACGTTGTTGAACATCAACCATGAAGGTAAGTCAACAGCGGAGTGCTGAAGTCCCGAAAGTAAAAGCTTCCACAATGGCCAAGATACTAGTGGAGGGTCTCTTGTCTCTGCTTTGGGTGCGGGGAGCCGCGCACCGCGAGATGGAGGATGCTGCGGGCGCGGGGAAGCGGGGGAAAGCACCGGCCGCGGGACGCGGACCGAGGAGCGACATCTCGTGATGAGAGCTGCCAGTTTTCACGACGGTGACGGCGCACTATGGTCCGAATAGCCGGTTTAAGCGGCATTAAATCAGGTATGTATGTTTAAACCTCGCATGATGAGTTTTCAGGGGTTTTTAGGGTCGCTGAGTGCAAAAATGCTAATATTCTTCAGGAAAAATCCATTTTTAACATTTTTATACTTTATATAACTGTGGTAATACTTTGTTCAGAAACCTTAAATTGAGGCATATAGACCAGATTGACGCGGTGGAGCAGTTGACATCGCGTTTCACTCGTCTTCTTGGTATCCCGGGTTCGAATTTCGGTAGATTTTTTTTTTTTTTTTATAAGTTTAAAAATTAATTTTACATTGGATGGACTAAAAGAAGCTAAAAGTAGAGCCTCGTCAAACACTACTATCAAGGGAAGTTGAAAAAGACAGCTCAGGATAATACTTCTACGTTTCATGGCTCCAGAGGCCTACTTTCAAGTCCCACCGATCAGCCGTTTGAACTTGTTTTCGTCTGCCAAGCTAAACTTAAGCTTAAATATATCCATTTTGATAGATTATTTGTTTGAAACATGGGTAAACGTAAAAAAAAAACGTTTAAGGGACCTCAAAGTGGCTTCCTAAGACAATTTCATTGCTCGGGAGCCTTACTTTCAAGTCCCACCGATCAACCGTTTAGACTTGTTTTCGTCTGCCAAGCTAAACTTATGCTAACATATATATCTACACTGATAGATAATATGTTTGAAACACTTAAAACTTCAAAAAAAAAAAACTTTTACGCGGCCTCAAAGTAGCCTCCCGAGGCGATTCTTTGCTGTCCTTGAGCACAAGTTTCAATCGGTCCCGATCAACCCCATCAACTCGTATTATTCTGCCTGGGCAGATTTAGGCTCTAATGCATACGTCTTGATAGAATATGACAATGGAACATCCTAAAATGCATGGTGAATGGCATATGATAGCTAATAGTAGGAAGTGCTAAGGAACGCGAAAACGTCATTTTTCATGAGAAATAACTTGAGGCTATGGTGGACTATGGTTCTGCCACTAGACTTAAAGGTAGTCTAGAGTCATGACAATAACTTCCGAGTAAAATTACGAGGTGCTCAGAGGTGCTAAGTATATTTTTTGGGTCCTACTTCTGCGATTTTATTGATAAAACTGACTATGTCTAAGGGTTAATCTAGAACATTAGATATGATGAAAAAGAACAGTTTCAGCATGAAACATCTTAAACTTATCTTATATTTTGTGAATCGAGTGCCCAAACACTTTCAGGTACGGTGAAACGACGAAAACAAGCCCTTAAACACAGCACTGCCGCTCGGTAACTGGAATCGCACTCATAAAGTGCTCCGCGCGCCGCACTTCCCAGGCTTGTCACATCTTTATTAGTGCTTTAATCGAAGTGAAATTTTACAAGAGTCTTCTCTACAATATGTACTATCGATCTACCGCTTAAAATCTAACTTTTTCCAAACTTCACTTTTTCGATTTATTGCCGCTTAAACCGGCTATTCGGACCATAGTGCGGCGTGAACAGGTTTGAACATTAATTAAAGATCAAGCTCGATTTAAAATGTAACCAATAGCATGTATGGGATCAAGGCAGAAACCGGAAACATAATTGAATTTCAAAACTATTTTATTTCACTGATTTTCTGGGGGAAAAACACAGTTTTCTGAAATTAGATGACTACCCCAAATTAAAGTTTGTCACAACTTTTTGGTTGGAAAGGGCTACCTGGGTGGGAGCGGGGACACGCAGGAGTGGGTGCGGGACACGCACGCTGGAGTAGGCGCGTGGGCGTTCCAATAACGAATGCTCAGTATCCGCAGGGTGTTCGTTGTTTCGGCCACTCCAAAATTACATTCCTAAATCATTTCAAAATTTTGACCTAAGCATTGACTTTTGAAGTGCGGACCCCCTCCAACCCCGCAGCGAGAGTGGGAAGAAAGGGAGGCTTCGGGACCGTGCAATCCGGATTCCTTGAAGTCGATTCCTACTTCGTCTCTGCGAAGCTGAACTTTCTCCGACTGCGGGTAACTGCAAATGGGTCTGAGCCACCCTGTAGAGGACTGTTAGTATGAACCCTGAAAGTGGCAATTTCCAATCAAAAAGTGGAGAGTTTTTGCCATTGCTGGACTGTACCCCATGTACTAAAAGTGATGAATATTTATTTCTTGCTAGATGTGCAGTATATTTTGGTTCCAGGGAGAAATCTGGAAAGTGGGCTGAAGAAATTCGGAGTTCTCAGCTTCGTGCGAGAACTGGATGGCAATGACGAAAATCAGTGTGATCAGTATTTGAAAGATGTCAGCATGTACGCTAGAGGTAAGCGTACTCAGAGTCATGTAATATCATTCTCAGACATTTTTAGGATTGAAGCAAATAAGGAGATATTATATTCCTCTCTGTTGTATGCCTTCCTACGATCACATTTTTACTTTCTCGATACCCTAGGGTAGAGGAAGTATTGTCACCCTCCAAGGAAATAAAAAGAAATTTGAAATTTCATAATTTCTAGACGTTTTAAGGTCCCTGGAGTCAAAATAATTATACCTACTTGACGTCCCCCAAATCTGTCTATAGCGATATCTCAGAATCTATCTCTTGGATTTCATTCAAAATATGCAGATGGTCTCCTTGTGCACGTCAAACGATTTTGGAGTACACTAAAATTTAGGGGGGGGGGGCAGGGGCCAAGATCCATTTTTAGCAAAATCACACGGAGAGCTAATTTTTAAGGACTGTAAATTTTGAAAAATGCCTTTAATTCTTTGAAAGTGGGAATCAAGCGCACTGCCTGGGTCATAAATTTAAGTTCCTAAAAGATCTTTGGAGTAAACTTAAAATTCAAGGGATACGGGTCATATGGCGAGGGCACTTAGCTCCGCAAAATAACACGAAGAGCTCACTTTGACGGACTGTAGATTTTGAAAAAATGCCTTTAAAGTCGGCTTAAAAGCACCACCTGGGTCATTAATTTAAGTTCCTAAAAGATCTTCACACTAATCTCATAATTTCAGAGGTTCCGATAGCAAACGGTCAATAGATGAGTCGGAACGCTCCTGGGTATTAGCAGCAAATGATTTGAGTCAGGTGAAACCTTGGATTTCAAATGCATTATATAATGCATCATATACTATCTCCAAAATGACTCCGTAGGTATACACCAAGTAAAATTAGACAACTAATTAGGTACTTACATACTATGAATCATCGAAGCTAACACACTAGATCTGACACTTAGATCTTTATTAGAAACTAATATGTTTGTTGTTAATAAACTTGGAATCCCGGCAGATTCCATATTCCGCGGTTCCTTTTTACGAGGTACAGAACATAAATAAATCGGCTCGTGCGAAAACCGCTAAGGTCCATTTTTTTCAATTTTGAGATTTTTGATTAAAATACTCTCGGAGGTCAGACACACTCATTATACTGTGGTGAAAATGTTTGTTCCTTAGGTTTGAAACCTTTTTCAGGGGCGGGGGGGGGGGGCTGTGGTCCGAATTATGTGAAAACCGCTAATGTTTATCTTTCGTTATATGCCTCATAATACTGTACAACAAACCAAAATAAAAAAAGTCTCCTGGACGACATTAGGTGATCTTTATGTATTTTGAGGCGCTAAATCCGAATATGACCTCCGTTTTTTTCCACCACCCTCCAACTTTCCGGAGAGGCCGATTTCACTCGGAAAGATGACCGTTGTAATGTTGGGATGAAAGACAATGACAAATGACTGTGTAAAGAAACATGGTTTATTCGTAATCATAACGCAACTCCACACTCTTACCAAGTTCGTGTCATGTGGTGGCTCATTGGTCCTGATATAAATGCAGGTTGCATAACCGGCTTCAGATGCGTCACAAAAGGCATGTAGTTGCACAAGGGATTCTTCTACTGCCAATAATCTTGGAATTCGAACTTGCCTCAAGGATGAGAGCGTAAGCATGAATTTGTCCCATTTGGTCTGGAATCCCCCTGGAAGGGGTTCGTCCCAGCCCAACTTGAGCAACCATAGTTGTTGCATGTACCTATGTTTTCGCGAGAAATGTCACAGGTGATACCCAGCCAAGGATGTCGTAAATTTTGGCTATGGCAGACAGAACTGCTCTCTTCGTGGTAGCCCTGATGGGTTGGTCTACTCGATATGAAAATGCATCTGGTCTTGGGAGCCAATGAAGACCCAACATGGAAAATGAGGAAGTCATAGGATCTTCCCAGGTAAATGGTACCTCTAAATCTTCGTCGGCAATGCATTCCAGAACCCTTGGGTCGTTGCTGGTCCACTTCCTGAGCGCAAAGTTGCCTTCCTTGAGTAGCGCAATTAACTCCTCGATGAGAGATCGAGTTAATTCAACGGTTCTATCCCCTGAGATCACATCATCGCAGAAAATGTCCTCCAGAATTAACTTGGATGCTCTGGGGTACCGGTCTTTGTAAAGAGTGGCAAGCTCTATTAACGATCTGCTCGACAAGAACGACGAGCTGCCTACACCGAAGGTGACCCGGTTTAGCTGATAGATCTGCACAGGAGCTTCCTTGTTAGGACGCCATAACACCAGGTGGTACCTTCTGTCTTCAGGGTGTAGCGCAATTTGTAAGTACATCTGCCGAATATCGCAGGAGAACACAACCTTGTGTCTTCGGAATCCCATTAGTACGTCTCTGATATCCTTTAGTAGAGAAGGTCCAGTATGGAGCACGCTGTTCAAGGATTCGCCGGTACTTGTCTTTGCACTTGCGTCGAAAACTACTCTAAGTTTCGTAGTGGAACTAGTCTCCTTTATAACGCCATGATGAGGAAGAAAGCAGTGTGAACCCTCCATAACATTGTCCGGAGCAAGAGTCATAACTCCGTTCTTCTGATATTCGTCCATGAATACCACATATAGCTTGTGAAACTCTGGCTGATGCTTGAAACGTCTTTCTAAAGCCAGAAAACGCCGGAGTGCCTAGGGATAGGACTCTCCCAGCGCGCTCGGAGGCTTTGCGAACGGCAGTCGTACTGAGAATTGTCCGTTGGGCGGACGCTCTACATTCTCACGAAACGAAATTTCAGCTGGGTCATCAGGAGGACTCGTTGGCTATCTGGAAGATATCGTCTCGATCTGCCACAAATTTTGAATATCCTTGCTGAGCTGGGCAATGGAACCTTGTTCCAAGTCAGCCATGAGCACCATGGGAGGATGCAACTGCGTTGGAGCAGATCCCATTAACACATGCCCCAACCTCGTTTCAATAAGATAGGGCATATTTGTGCCCAGAGGCCGCGGTTTTCCAATAATTAAGACAGGAAAGAGGTCCGCACCAATTAAAAGATCTACGGGCCCAGGCTGGTTCCATTCTGGGTCAGCCATGGGTAAACCGCGCACTAAGTGCTGCACGTCATCATGGATGAACCAGGAAGGAGTAAAATCAGTGATTTTATCCAAAATGATTAGTTCGTGTTCCCTAGCGAACACTTTATTGTCTACAGATGACAGAGTCACAGTGGCCGTACCACGAGTAGAACTTGGGAGACTGGATATGCCTTGGATGGCTCCTGCCCCTTGGACGATGGGCAACCCCATAGCATGAGTGCATTCAGTCGTAATGAACGTCCCCTGTGCAGCGGAGTCGAGAACTGCTCTCAGAATTTTGGAGCTATTGTGAGTTTTTACTCCTACGAGAACGGTGGCGAACATTACTGTAGCCTTCGTTGATTTTTTCGTGCCCATCATCACCTTCTTGGAACTGCCTTTGTCTTCTTGACCCATGGAGTAATTCTTGTCTCGGTGTAGCAGAGTGTGATGCATCTCATCGCAGACGTAACACCTTCTAGAGCTCTTGCAGCTATTACTCGTGCAGTCTCCTGGAGAGAGACAGTTTACACATCTTTTCAGAGACTCGACGATTTTCCTCCGATCTTCAGTCCTTTTGGCCTTAAATTGAGCGCATAAAAATAATGGATGCTTTTCTTGACAGCAGGGACAATCAGAATTAGATATTTCAGATTCATTTCGTCGTTTACCACTTGAATTTTGGGACTTGGATGATCCCTTGCCCTTGCGCCATGCCGACTTGTTTGGCTCTGCTTGGTTAGCATTGCTCCTTGACTGAGAATTTGTTCCGACATACAAGGCCTTCTTTTGTGATCGATTATCGTTGCTTGATTTTTCACCTCTTTTAGATGAGACATCATCGATTTTGCATTTTCCTTCTCCAAGAAGTTCATGACATCCTCCAACGTTGGATAAACAGTGGAATCTGTCCTGGAGTCTTCAAAACGCTTCTTGTGATATGGAGACAATTTCCGCAAAACGACTGCTACCACCATAGGTCCATAATCCTTCGAAACGTAGCCTAATGCTCGAAGCGCATGCTTATGTTTGTTGATCTGAGTTAAGGCATTAGGTATGTCCTTATCAGAATTGATGAATGGCATATCAAGCAGTCCAAAAAAGTGATGAGATATGTGCTTTCTTGTGTTTTGGTATCTTCCTATCAGCAAATCCCAGGCGACAGCGTATTGATCTTCTTCGGCCTCGATATTCTTTATTAACTCCAAGGCCTCACCCCTGAGCTTAGAAGTTAAATAATGAAGTTTCTCGACTGGCTTCAGTTTCTCATTATCATGGATGGTCGCCTTGTATAAGTTGTAAAAGGACGTCCACTCTGAATAATCTCCGCTAAAAGTAGGAAGTTCCAACCTAGGGAGCCGTACGCCGCCAACGGCATTGTCACCGTTTGATGTTTCCGGTCTCCTGGATTTTTGTTGATAGATTTTTTCTACTGAACGAACCAGCTCGTCATAAGATTTCTGGACAGCAGTTACAGGTACCTTATCATCCTTCACGACGTATACATTTGCCTTCACTGAAAAAAACGTTTCCTAAATTCAAGGAGACGCCCTGTTGACCTAAGAAAATTGGATACTTGCAAAAAGTGGACAAGAAACGAAGTCTTGAATGAAGAAAACGGTATTGCCTTGGTCGACGAAAACGCGATTTCTTGAACCAAAACTCCTGTTACATTGAAGCACGAAAACGTTTCCTTCAAATTAGGAAACACCGCCGCGCGAAGAGTTTCCTAAAAGTAAGTAAGTGTTGTGTTGTTTTCAGGAAACGTTTCCTCAAAAAAAAAAAGGAAACAGTATCTGCAAGCGTTTCCTTAAAATTAGGATACGGTCGGTCCCGCCGCGTCGCTGCCTCGAGAATCGGCTCCCCGCCTAGTGTCCCTATCCTTGAAGCGCATACCCCTATCGTTGGTACTGCCGGGGGTGATTTCCTTCACGTAGTTGACGCGCTTCGCGCTCCCTCTGGTATCCTGATGAAGAACTCCGT